TTACTATTAATATTATTATCATTATTATTATTATTATCAACCTTATTAAATTTTACATCTAGACAGTGCCGCAATGCCTGCCAACTTTTTCAAACAAAACAGAGACAAGCTTTTAGGCCTGCAGGTTAAGATTATTAACCTTCTCGAGTAGTATATTCCACCATTTTGATGAGTTTGTTTGACCTGTGTGCTTATATTACCATTGTTGCAGTTGTTGCAGTGGCAGTTGTATATGTTGTCGTTGCTGTCGTTATTATTGGAGCGGGGGGGGGGTTGTTCCCCTTTCGAAATTGTGTTTTGTCATTGCAGTTGTACACCTGGTTTATTTTATTATTTCTTAGAGTAACATATTTGCTTGGGGGGCTCTTTAGTTTGTTGGGTTTTTTTTATGGGGGGTGGGGTTGTAAGTCATCCCATTTCTCAATCACAGTATCCATTTAAACGTGTGAATTTAGTGTATTAGTTACAAATACATGTTTGTAGTTCCTTCTTCGTCTTTCAAAGTCAGAACTCCTATAATATTTGTTCCAGGTAAAATCCAGAGCCACAGTGATTAAGAAGCGTGGCATCGACCCAGACGTGATCAGCATGCCCAGCTACATGCGGCCCCTCAAATGTCACTCCCGCACGCCGTCCACCCTCACCACCATTGAAGCTTTCACAGTGGAGACCCGCCGCAAGAAAAACATGTGGGAGGAGGCGATGGAGGACAAGGAAGACCTTAAGTTCAAGTGTACAGCTCGCCCATCGGCCCGTCTCACGCCACATGAGATACAGCAGCTCAAGGTGGGCTACACACTGCACAAACCAACCCAAGAATCGATTGCAGAATCGAAGTTGGCGTCCGAGAAAACGACCCGACAGAAATCTGCCCGACGTCCCAAGTCGTCTCCGGGGGACGCCAGATCGACATCTCCCGTCTTTATCACTGAACTTCGTCCTAAATCTCCGACACCAGAAGAGAAAAGTGCCTTTTCAGCCATCTCGAAATCGGTGTCGTTTTTAGACAAACACAGTGAAAACGAGAAACCAAAATCTCAGTCATTCCCGTTCGCGAGTTCCTTCCGCTATCGAGATAATATGAAACCACAAAGTGCTGGTGCTGCTACTGGTAGCAGAGGGAAGAAAAGTGCTGCAGCAAAGTCCTCCTCGATGTACGGTAGGGAGGGCAGTGTTTCTGCTGATGCAGGGGCGAGGGGGAGACAGGGGAGTAAATCTAGCACTCTCACTCGCAGCACTTACAGAGGGGACAGCTCTGGTAAAAAATCTCTGAAATACGAAACTGGCATCACGGACAGGAGTTTCAAAAGAAAAGATGGGAAAAAGAAAGACTTTCTCGCTGTCATTCTTGATGATGAGTGACAGAGTTGTGTGATCAGTTTTCTGAAACGTTCGAGAAATGAACTACATTATGTACATCCATTATTCATGTATTATTAAATAAGGTTTGAAAATAAAGCGCCATATATCTTGAATATTTTAATAATTTTCGCTTTTGTGGCTACCGTTGTTTCTCTTGTCATATTAAGCGATATTGAAGACTGCAGGACGTTTTCTTTATTACAAAAAAAGGCAAAAGTAGAATGTATTTTTCGAATAAGATACAAATCCTTTATTATCGATTCACACTGGAAAAATGAGTTTACAATGGAAAATATATAGATATATTATATAATAAGTTATCAGTCATAGAATATAATATATTTACAATATCATACCAATGAGTTACTTGGACCATGAAATTGCCCTGTAAAACAGCATCCTCGCTACAGAAGAAACTGCAACTACAGAAATTAAAAATACAAACATCTGGGGAGGGAGATCGCTATTTCAGAATTACAACGTTCTATTTGATACCTTTTTTGCCGTTTTGAGTTACTAAGACCATAAAATCAGAATTCAAATGTTCTATCTGCTCTACCAAAACCGTATAATTATTCTGAGTCGTTATCAAGATATATATTTTTAATGCATTGGAAAAAGCTTGACAAAATGTTGTGCAGCTCAACATTTTTGCGTCAAATTTTTCGAAACGAGATACTGATCAAACATAACATTGTTATTCTAATCAACGAAACGCCAACGCTCCATAAAGAGATAGATAGATAGATAGATATCCTTCGTATAGCGCAAATCCCCGCTCAACAGCAAGCACTATGCGCTTCACAATCTATACTATTATCCCCCCCCCCCCCCCGAAAACCTGAGAACATTCTGAAACAAACTCAACTTCCTGGAAAGCATAATACAGTGCAAGCAGCCATTTATAGGAGCTAAATCACAAACATACTGAGATGATCTTTCGCTGTGTATGGACGGGTACCCATTTCCACTTTAGTGAAGTGAGGAAAATTTGTGTAAAGTGCCTTTCCCAAGGACACAACGTCGGGTCCAAAGCTCGAACCCCCGACCCCGCAACCTCACGATTACGAGTCCGGTAGCCTAACCACTAGACCACCGAGGTTATAGTACAATAGCTGGTGACAGGGACGTAAACTTA